AATTTAGAAGGATTGAGAAATGTTACTGCATTTACCTGCCTAAAGTCTACACAGAACTTCAGTGAATCTCCTTTTTTACAATCACTAGTGACGACCAAGCACTTTCTGAAAAAAAATTCCTGGTGATTGTTTTGTAGGACACTTATCTCCAGTATCTATAAGATGCTGGGTGATATTTGTTCTTCCCAGTTTGTTGTCTCTTTCAACAAATGCATTGGTAATGTCTGTCAGTAATATTTTGAGTTTCCTCTGCTGACCTAAACATAGGTTATTTGCAAAATCTTCGATTAGCAACCTCAACTGTACTGGCAATTATGTATTTCTTTGTCAACTTTATGTTGCTCAATTACACTAGCTATACCAGTAGTTTCAGTTACTTCTCCCTCATGCACGGTATCAACAATTATTCTTACTTGTACAGTGGTGTAAAATGAGATTTTGTTCACAGAATACCATGAAACACAACTTGTGTATTATACAGAAGTGTAACAGCCTCATCTACACACACTCATATAGTCCACTGCTTTGGTGAGTATTCTGATTGACATTTCATAGTTTAATCCCAGGGCTGCAGTTTATCTGGTGTGTTTGAAATGTGACAGTCAATTCCAATATTCATTGGTAAAGTAGCCCAAGAGTTGACAGTGGGGGGTGTTGAATAGCTGCCTTCCCTCTAATCTATCACTGCTAAATTAGGGATGACTAGCACAGTTAGCCCTTGTGTAGCTTTGCGCAAAATTCAAAATAAACAAAATCACCTGGTGCACAGGCAATACTAGCAGATAACAACTATAAGATATTAAGATTTTAAATGCTAATACTTGAACCAAGATCTGTTATCACAAACCTTGCATGTTTAATAATGGTACCAACAATGATGTAGTGTTGAGATTCTTCATTCAATGCAAGCCAATCACTATTTGCAAGGATAAAGGCTGTAGTCAGTGGCCAGAATGGCAGTATGCATGATAATGACTGATACGCTAAGAGATCAAGTCACTGAGTTTTGGCTCCACCTATATCAACTTCAAACTCTACCTCATGTCCATGTAGTTTCATAAGCACATACCAAGCCATACTTGGTCTTCAGATATCATATTAAACACAACAACAGAATGAACAGACAGATAGCTCTTTTCTCAGAAACTAGTAGCAATATCTGATCTGGTTCTTGCTAGTCTAAATTAACAGACTTAACAACATTTACAACTTGTCATTCTTTTTCAGCTGTTGCCAATTATTTGGTCTACTAGTGGATGTACAGGCTCCTGTGAAGATACAGAGATACCACCAATGATGAAACTGTCCACATTTGTAATATTCCCTTCTATCATCAGGGAATCAGGATGTATTTCCATCTGTATCATTGGTACAGCTGGCATGATGGCTTAAGTTGTTACTGCCACTCAGCAGTGCTGAGTTATTAATGGATGGCCTCATTAAATGATTACTACAGCATCCCTCAAACCATGTTATGTACAAGCAAAGAGATTTAAAGGAAGGAATGGAGATGGGTGTGAAGGAGGAAATACCCTCCCAAGTGGCCAAAGATTTGGGCAGAAAGGATGAAAAGGAAAAAGAACCACATTGGAAAATTTGAAACGGTCATTTGGTATACAGCTCGTGAAGGAAAGGCGAATGTAATGAGAAAACAAGGATGATACTTGCTGCAGAGAACCAGTCTGCCACGCCAGAAACCAGATAAAAGCCATAAATGATGGATATAGGAGAGTAGGAGAATGGGGGAGGAAATGACCCCAGTATTTGGTGCAAAAGTGGAAACCACAGCAGAGCTGGCTAATGTGGAGCCACTTACAGAACCCAACTCAGAGTGGTCTGGATGATGTAAAGGAACCAGAATAGCAGAATCCTGACTATGGACAACCAAAACTCCAGCCAAAGGATGTGTAACAGAAGATCAAAACCAGAGAAGTGAAGAATTTATATAAGTGGTAAAGGCAACGAGATCCAGAACACCTTACTGGGCAAAGAGTCCCCAAAAAACCTGTGGGTCCAGTAACCACTCCTTAAGGAGAATCCTATCAGAACTTGATATATGGTCCACAACAAGATTCAGGGCACTAGAATATGACAAGTCAACATAAGAATCTAATGGCTGTGGCACAATACAGGAGAACCAGTGGCCAAAAACAGAGATCTCTCAGCTGAGTTCCTTCTTCCCTGAAGATGTACAATGAGAGTTGAATTGTCAGAAAGCACCATTACCAACTGCCACTGAAGGAAGTGCACCAAAGCCTGACAAATTGTGAGGAGCTCCAGGAATTCAAAAGGACAGAGGACTCATAGAGAGTCCACTATCCTGAAACCTCCCAAGCAACAAGATAAGCACCCCAACCAGAAAGGGATGAATATGTAAAAGGTGATGTTCTGGTCGAAAAGGAGGAAGAGGAACACCTATAGAGGTGTTGTTATGATCCAACCACCATGCAAAGTTGGTTGATAAAGGAGGAGGAAAGAGGCATCCAAGGGATCCTGAACAAAGCTCCTCTGGACCCACAAAACCCATTGAAGTTGACACATGTGAGCATGACCGAGAGGGATGAAGGCTTCCACAGGAGCACACGTCTTCAAAAGGGAGAAGGAGAGGAGAAGAGTTGTAAACTAGAAGTTTCATAGCCCTCAACCAAAGGGAAGAAATTTGAACTTGACTGAGAAGGGAATTAAATAAAACCCTAAAATGAACTAGGTATTGCTTGGAAGTGAGGAAAATGTTTCTACACCAGCCAACCAGCCTCAGCTACTATTCTTAGGAGAAACTTAGTATGAAAGGCAGAGTCGGCCCAAGAGGAAGCCAAAAAAAAATAGCCAGTCATCCATGTAAGGTGGAAAAGAAGTCCTCAGGAATGAAAAAGATGGGCAAACACCTGGACTATCAGACTTAAAACATAAGGAGCTGAGGCAAGTTTGAATGGAAGAGACTGACCTGAAACACACACCCTGACAAACAATACAAAGATAATGTCAGAATACAGGGGAGATGTGAATGTGTAGGTATGCATCTGACACATTGACCATCATCACCCAAAAACCTGGAGGAAAACCCAATGAAGGGCTAAGAACAACTCCACGGTGAAACATGGGAGGACCAAGAATCAGTTCAGAGCCGACAGATTAATGATAGAGCACCAGTCCCCATTTTTAATGTCAGGCTGGTTTGTTTCCTCCTAATGTCAGTCAAATACTTATTCAAAATACTTTGTTTTGTTTGTTTGTTTCAAAGAAAAGTCACATCGGACCCACAGGGTCCACCATGTGGAATTGAACCCCAGGTTTCATCACTGTAAATCTGTAAACTTACTGCTGTCCCTCTGGGTGACCTTAAAAAGGAAATAATGCTGAGGCTGTCGAACTCAAGATGGTGACCCATTTCCTCTGGACAGAATGCTAGCCCATCACAACTCAACTCTGAACTAGGAGGTGGAACCCAATGTAAAGCTGGGTAGACTGGAACAAGTTGGGTAAAGTGTCTTACTCAAGAACTCAATAGTATAACGTGCCTGCCTCAAACTCGTGCCCATCTGATTATGAGTCAAAAGCACGAATTTAATGAGCCATGTTGCCCATTGAAGTATTGGGGTGAAATCCTCACAAAGGTACAAATGACTCACAAATGCCACGAGTGTATGTAGGGAAAGCCATACTGACACCCAAACTGAACTGGTCCATGAAACGACTCACGTGAACCCCAATATCCGGAGAGGGTTAGATAACACTAAATACCAACTCGAAATGACATTTGACTGTGAGGCATAGGCAGGAGAAGGAAACAGGCTGTCAAATGTACATCATCATGTGCAGCCAAATCCTCAGGAGAAAAATATTATCAAGTGCTCAGAAGCCCGCATAAAAGTAGCCAACTCCCTACAAACTAGAGCCATTATTTTTTGAGTAGATAAAGCTTGCTCAGATGCCATTGAAGTGACAAGCAAAGCAGCTGTATTAGTTTAAGCAACTGTGGTAGATGTTACGTGAAATTGCACTGGTATGACAAATGGAATTGACTTGGAAAAAAGAGAATTGTATCCCCAAAAATTCTCAAACTGGACAAAAGTCAAAACAATTATGGCTGGGAAACACATTATGCAGTTGAAAATTTAAACTGTAACTTGAGCAAATATGTGAAAAAATCAGTCATAAAACATGAGCGAAAACAAGTCTGAACAGAAGAGAGAGCACATGTTCATTTGAATGATAGCATGCAGATGTCTCACATGATTACATGTGAAGGTAGATCTGTGTATGAAAGAAAGCGACGAGCAAAGATTTTGCTTATAGAGAGCAGTACAGGTTGAGGAAAGTTTTTTATGAGCGGAAGTAATATATCGTATCAGAAACCCTAATTTTGATTAGCTCATAATTTTTATGAAAATCAGCTTAATTGTAATTTTGATAAATAGAATAATCTAAAACACCAATAAAAGGAAACAATTTTGATTAATCGATTAGCTTACGTGACACATTGATGTAACTGTTCCTCATAAGTAACTGATTATAGGAATTATCTAATTTAATTACCCAACCCTACTCAGCACTCATTCAGGCTGAATCATGCTGCTATACAACAGCTGAGGGTTGGACACCATCTATTGTGGCTTCACATTATGTGTGGTCAGTACACTTGGGTGGTGTGTTTCTGGTGGATCCACTCTACTACAGCAGATTTTCTTTTGATCTAGCAATCTGATTGAAGATACTATTTCACACTTTGTTCCTATGAAATCTTCAGTCAGAGACATGATACAGACATTCTAGCCAGGTGTTGAGGATATTACGGATAAAAGTAGGAATTTTTTCATCAAAAATAGGGGGGAAAGAAGGACTATTTTCATACATGTAATTAGGAAAAGTGGGAATTTTTGTTGAAGTTGCTCTAACATCTTAAACTGTGGGATTTATAGAACAAACTAATTCTAATTACAGCTACAACCCAACTAATAACTCTTTTTAAATACCAACAGTAGAAACTAAGAATTACTTACCAATATTTAATTACATTATTTTTCAGGTACATACCACTGCCATCAGTCATCAGAAGGAAACAGCAATTCACACTGCCTACTCAGTACTGCCAGCTGGCCTAAAAATTAAAATAACTTTTATCAATTCAAAATATTTATGTATACATTTCCAAGCATGTAATACAAATACTATAATGTTAATAAAACCATTGAATTAGTAATAATAAGCACATGAAAGTAACTTTTTTGTACATTTATAGAAATAGCTGTGGTCTTAATATTACATAACACATCTTACCACTGTACACTATAGTAAGTCCTATGAACATTATGATAAAAAACATACTTCAGTTATGTAAAAATAACATATTTTCATTTCAAGAGACTGCATTCTTTTTTTTCCAAAAACCGTTTTCCATGAAACAATTTTTCAATACTAACCAGTACTAACATAACTTTGTCATATCATTTTCATAATATAAATAGAAATAGTAAATATTTGTGTAGAGGTTATAATCTGTCAATGTACAACTTCTACTGTCACTACCTACAGGAAAACAAAACTGTAGTATCAGGAAGTATTAATAGCAGAAAAAATGAAGATTCTAAATGTTACACAACTCAGTCATTTTCTTTCATTTTTTTAAGAAATAATTTTGTTTGTTGTTAAGCACAAAGTTCCACAATAGGTTATCTGTGCCATGCCTACCATGGGATCAAAACCCAGTTTTTAGCATTATGAGTCACCATATGTACCACTGAGCCACTAGGGGTTTTAAGATATAGAATTATCTTCTATGAATTTTCATTCCTCAAAATTAATCATAATAATATTCAATTAAAAAATCTTCATCACATCACAGCCATCCACTACACCATTTAAAATTTCAGAAATCTAACATGTATGAATGATTTGTCAAATTAAACCTGCAAAAGTTTTTATGAATCACCTTTTGTTGAAAGTTAACACTTTCCTTACCTGATAATGTATTTCCAATAGTTACTTATCTCTCTGTACACATTAGCTATTCCTTGCATATCTGCCTTTGAGATTTTGCACATGCCATTAGCCTTGAGCTATTTCCTATCAAGACATGTTATAACATGAAATGAGCTAGTGTTTGATGTAATCATCATGTGACAATAGCCCTCCACCAATAGGAGAGCAATATATTCTCATTGTACAGTTGATCCCCATAAGCCCTTGCACTCAAAATTACTTTCATTCTTAGACGATGCAAGAATAATGCGCAACAGTGGTGGAAGGTGTACAGAGAGGTAAGAATTTATCGGAAAAACATTTTCAGGTAAGGAAGATGTGAACTTTCAAAACGATATACATACTACTCTCACACAGTATGTAGAATCCCATACTGATTTGATGGAAGAGTGGGTGTAATTGTGAAAGCCTAGACTACAATTAGGGTTCAACAATGAAAAACAAATTTATTCAACAATAATAACACTTAGAAATAAATTCAACACTTACCAAAACACAGTTAATAAACACGTGCCTGGCCAGGACTTGATGCTAATGTTAATAAACAACCTATATATATAAAGATGAAATGTGTTTGCACACTAACTCCTCCGAGTCTATTGGGCCAATTTCAAACAAAATTTGTATGTAAACACTATAAACTGTGAGAAATGTCCTAAGGGGGTCAAAATTGAACTTTACCCTTTTCTGTTTTGTAAAGCCTGTTGGTTAATTACTCCCAGCCTATTGAGTCAATCTCAAACAATCTTGGCAGGTTGAAGCTTTAGACAATGTTGAATATTATAAAGAGATTCAAAGTCAAAGTATGAAAGTTGCTGGATTGTTTCTCAAATCAGTTGATGGGTATTTCAGCTTGTATATCATAAATATCAATATTATTTCAAATAATAGAATCAGGCAAAAGAACCAGAAAGGAAAAACCTAATTCGAAAAAAATACAGCAAATACAATATTCCAAAAATACCTTTCAGTATTAATAACAATATCGAGTGACAAACAGCAATAATTCACTAACAATAACATTCACTAACTATCTTGTGACTCTTTCTCTTAGTGAAGCTTCTGGCAGGGTATTTACTCTCTAAGCTAAACAATAGAAGGAAATAATAAATGAATAATAAACACAACCATGATCATAAAAAAATGACAATTGAAGTGAAAAGCCCATAGAGTGTGACATCCTATAGTTGGGGCTTACCAAAGTGGTAACACTCATGGGAGACTGCATCTATCTCATGCAGGGTATACTCTTTGCTTGGATGAAAGTATGGAAGGAGGAGGGCAAAAAAAGCAATGTGTCACATGGATGGGCAGAATAATATACAAGACCAATCGAACATTTGCAAACAACAAGTCCATTGGAAATGAGGTGTAGTGTGTCTGAAGCAATGAACAGAACATACAGTTTCGTATGTGTTCTGTTGTACAATTACCTCACCTTACATATAGGAATGGTGATTAAATCCCTACCTGTCCTGTGAGGAGAACAATTTGCTAATTCCGGCTACCCAAACCACCTGGTATATTTTTTAACAGGGGTGATCTGCACTACACTGGCATGGATACCCCTGCCCTACTTTCCATCACATTGTATTGTCCATTCAGACTCTTTCCAGAGGACTTGTACAACCAGTGAGAAACTCTCCAAGTTGACCACCCCAATGGCTATGAACTGGAAGTGGCAAAGTTCTTCTGTGCTCCACCTAGAAATCAGGGAGAGGACGGAATTCATGTTGGGAAGAAACCAGAGATGTGCCCAGACCTGATTGGATCTAACTACTGCAAAGATCTTTTACTGGAGAAAGTGCAATGGGTTGCCACAAAACCTATTTTGAAAAGCCAGCATGCATTAGCCAGGGAAGTAGCCAGACACTCTCCCAGTGCTGGATTTACCCATACTAGTCCAAGAAAGGTATGGTCTGGAATGGAATGGACAAGGAAATACAGAAAACCCCATCCCAACAGTGGGCACTTGAAGAACCAGGGAGGATGGGTTTAATGCTTTTCATTACCCCTGACTTAATGTGAGTTTAGAGAAGTAAGTATTTCCTGTGAGGCAACACTGGCCTCAGGGTGGTTCCAAGAAGTGAATGGGAGAATGGTCTAAACAGGTAAAGAAATAAACATGGCACTTACCTGTTAAAGACAGTGAGTAGACTGAAAAATCACATCTAGAGGGAGACAATATGATGAGTGAAATGAAAGCAGCTGATGGTAGAGATAATGGTAGATGGAGATGTTGGGCATAGTCCACATCCAAGAATCATTGAAAGTGTAAAGCCAGAGTGACTCCAGCAGCAGAGATGTGATGGGTTGAAACGTGATACAGTCTGTAAGCATCTTTAATCAGAGAGGAATAGGTGATCCAGATGATCTGACAAATCCATCAGGTAAGCTTACAGGATGAGAAATCCCTGGAAGAAAAAGGGTCCCATGGCAAGAATAAACAACTGTGAGAACCCCAAAATGGACCCATGCATGCCAAGTAACACCTGACTACACAAAGTGGACATAAAAGGTGATCAGGGTCAGCATGATAATAGAAGAGATATGCGAAAAAAGGTATGATCTACCTCCAAAGCCACCTAAGTCTTAGGAGGAGATGAGGGAATAAAATCAAGGAAGATCTGTGACACAAAGTATGGGAGGCATCCAGTGCATAAAGATCAAATATACAATGACCACAAGCAAGAAGGTAAAGGAAACAGGTTTTAAGAGAGAGATGGTGTAGGAACCAAGTAGCCAAGTATTCAAATGTGGCTTGAGTAAGAGTGTATAAAACCATATTAAGGTTCAAGTTGATTGAAGGAATAAGACAAGGAGGACAATGAATTAGAATGGATCAGAACAAAGTGAAAATAACAGGGGAGGAAAATTTAAAACCATAGCAAAAAAGGCAAAAGGTGGTCAACAAGGCCACCTGATAGCTTGTGATGGTAGAAACCAATAATCCTTGGTCGAACAAACAAGTAAAGAAGGCCAAAAGATGAGCAACAGTAGAACAGCCTGGTGGTAGAAAGTGGTGGATGAACCAGTGTTAAAAAACATGTCATTTTTGTTGATAGTAGAAGGGAAACATGATTATAATAAAAGTAGGACTACACAGTCAAAGAAACCTGACTGGCAAGCAAGGGACCAGGAAAAGCCTATGCAGGACGATGAAGGGACAAGACTCCTGGATGAAAGAGAGATGTTTGAGATTGAAAATGGAGTGAGTGAGATGGATGCAAAGGGGTCATAGATGCCAGTCGGTAAAGAAGGAAAAACCAAAAAGGTGCTATCAACAGGACCCGACAAGGAGTGTCACGAATCAATGCCAAGACATGTTGGAGAAGGCGAAGATGAGGGTACAAATACAAAATGATATGACACCAATCCAGGGTGAGAGAATCCACCAATGGGTGGTCAAGAGCTCAGAACATTGATGTGCAAAGTATAATATACATGAGACCAAACCTCCAAGACCATGGAATTGTCCAGAGATGTGGCTCGACCTGTAACAGATGTATCAGTGAAAAGATGGAAATCCAGATGGGAGTGGGAGTGAGATGCTGACTGTAGTGTTGGCATGTTCCAGCCATCAACATGGCAGCAGCACAAGAGAGGACAGAGGATTATGAGAAATTTTTCACTAGTTACTCAAAGTCCACTGAAAAAGCCTTATGTGAGCATGGCTACAGGAACAAGATGTTATAAAGATGCAAGAATCCCCAAAAGAGGTAGAACCTCTAGTGCAAGAAGTATAGGAGAAGCAAAAGTCGAGGTAACTAGATGCTCCATATACAATACAGAAAATGGGAAAAGGCTGATCCCAACAGAGTTGAGAATTGAAAAAACACTCCCAGGTGGACCAAGAATTAAGTGAGAGTTAGATACAACTTTATAAACTTGACCAGTCAACCCAGACAAGCCACCTCTTGGAGGAAAAGTGATGTGACTGAGAAGGAGCCAGTTGTCCATGTAATAATGACAATGAAGTCCAAGACTGGGAATATGATAAGGAAATACGTCCGTGACTCAGTTCAAAACTGGTACACCTGATACTGGTAAAAGAGACAAAGGAAATAAGGTAAGAAAAGAGCAATAAAAAATATAGAAAGGCATCCAAGATGTTGACCT